TGCAAGGTGGGGTCTGTGTCTTTAATTTTTGGAGTAATCTATCATCCATTCCTCACTACCATTCATTATGTGGAAAAAGTGACGTTTCAGCAGAGCTCTGGGGCAATTTTACCTCCACTTGAATATTTTGCCTGCGTTCTTGTTGAGCGAGGCATTTTTAGTTTGTGCCAAATATTTGGACAATGACAGAGTTGGCAATGGTGCCATGATGAACTACCACAATATGTAAAGACGCGATTGAAACGTAGCCATTTTAGCTTTATTAAGCCATTTCGCAAAATTTGTGAAAGTGATTCGACATCAGTGCCTTGAAATACGAGTGACCCGAACCGTGTGGAGATTTTCAAGATGTGAGCCTCCAAGTTTCTTCTCTGGCTTGCAAGCACAAAGCGAAGACGTGAACGCTTTATGGTGGCAGTGAACTCAACTCAACCCACTTCACAACAGGCAGCAAGTGGGTTGAGAGTAAACAATTGTTTTCAAAAAAGAGGCTCCAAGCAATTTATTGTCACTAACATTTTCATCATCATCTTTTTGTGTGTACCATTCATTGGCCCCCATGTGGCCAGTCACAACAAGCAGCAAGTGGGTCGAGAGTAAATAATTGTTTTCAAGAAAGAGGCTCCAAGCAATTTATTGTCACTAACATTTCTATCGTTTTGTGTGTACCATTCATTGGCCCCCATGTGGCCAAGGCGCATACAACAGGATTAGCAGCACAATTTTCATTGAACTGAAGCAAAAACAATGATGGCTGGCTTCTTTACGTGGTAAACAAAAACGCCTTCAAAACATAAATAGTCAAGTCAGCAATATTGTTGAAAAGGTTTGTCGTATCAATGTCAATATTTACAGTCAAGACAAGTCGGCAAGGGTGTAAATCGAGGTTGTAGAGACGTCGACGCAAACTATTGGCAACATTGAATAAAATAAAGCCAGGTTAGATTTTACCACGAAACATCCGATTTTTTTGACCAATGAAAAATGAAACCGAGGATAAATTGTATCAGAATGATGGAAGGAGACATTTACGGAGAAAGAAGCAAGCAGTTCACAATCCAATAGGTCAAGTCAGCAATATTGTTGAAAAAGGTCTGTCGTATCAATGTCAATATTTACAGTCAAGGCAAATCTGCAAGGGTGTAAATCGAGGTTGTAGAGACGTCGACGCAAACTATTGGCAACATTGAATAAAATAAAGCCAGGTTAGATTTTACCACGAAACATCCGATTTTTTTGACCAATGAAAAATGAAACCGAGGATAAATTGTATCAGAATGATGGAAGGAGACATTTACGGAGAAAGAAGCAAGCAGTTCACAATCCAATAGCAAAACACATTATGTGTCTGCTTTTCACTTTCAAAAAATTAAAGATAGCAAGAAAAAAAAAAGGAGCCACAAAAACGCGGCTGGAAGTTTGGCAAAGAATCCCTCTTTCAACCGTGTCTCCGAAACGGATTTTCTGTAGCTATTTTGTCGACCTGTTTCAAAGTTTATTGATGAAAATCCAAAGGTTTTTTTTTTAAACATAAGGTTAAACAAAAAAGCACTACTTTCACGTGATTGACATTAAGTCTCTTGAGCAGATGTCCAGTAAACAGAAGAATTAAGCTGAAAAAACACTGAATGCGATTTGCGCTTTCGAACAGAATACCCACACAAAAGCATCCACAGGAACAGAGTGGCAACATTGTTAGCGGCACAATGACAATTCCGTGGCTCAGCCGACGCATATTCTTTTCTGTACGTTCACAAAAAACTCGGCCTTATAGAAAAATGAAACTCTTTCACAGTGGTACGAAAGTCTGCATCTTGCAGCTTTCCGTTTATGTCGAGGAAGCCATTTTGAGCTGTCCCAACATCGCAAAATGTAACAAACTTTGCCTTGCAATTGACTGGCGATTGTTGATGGAAGTTATAAAGCAAAGAATGGTCTCAAGACAACGGAAACGGATACAGTTTAATTTTGGTCATTTCTTTACCAAGTACATTTTGAAAAGAAAACCGATGTAAGCCGCAGAGAACACGACGTGTTTTTCAAAGCCTCAAGTATATCTTCAACTCGTGCTGACAAACGAGCTCTCTTCTCATTGAAATGTATAGACGAGTGTACAAGTAAAGCTTCGGCCGAGTAGCGCGCACCGAAATTACATTTTCACATCGTCAGAAAGCTTTTTGTGCTTCATTCACACAATGACAATGGCGCATGTTACCATGAAAGGAAAGAACGTTGAAACCGAACATAACAGAAAGCATTCGATAGGTTTTCTGAATCTTACGAGATCCGAGCCACAGTGCCGCCATACCGATGGAATATATTTTGCCCGTCCTGCTCTGATCTTTATCAACCAACAATTCAAACCAGTAGATCAGACGTAGTGTGCTAAAAGGAGAGAGACTGGCATCTAGCTGGATCGAGCTACAATGTTGCTAAGCTACAAAGTTGGTCCAAAAAAAAAAAAAAAAAACGTTCCGACTCGGACTCTATTTCCTTTCCATAATATAATTGTATCACGAGCCACTCTGCGATTCACACCCCGAAAGAGAGCGGGCTGGTTACGTTTTTCCATCAATAATAGAATAATCGTCTCAATCACTAATCTCCTTAGAATCGCAGCAATGTATTCACACGTGTAACAAAGTCAATTAGGACGGGCAACGGTTATCCGATTAGGGGGTTAGGGTTCACCTTTTTTTTTCCTCCGCCCAACTATCACGCCTTAGTATCCTCTGGTGCTTTCTTTTCATAAAGTCTGTTTAACTCAAGCAGAGAATACGTACGTGTCGGTCAATAAAGTCGGAAATGAGACAAAAACGGACCAGCAGCCTACTTTACTGGTATATTGTAGTCCCAAATGCTTTTACTGTTTTGTCCATGTAGTAGTTCATCCGTACAAACCGCAGGTACATTGCAGGATAGATTAACATAAGGGGTTGGAATATGTAGCCACCTTTCACACCGCCTTTCTGGAAAATTGCCACATCAGAGGCGTGACAGGGCATTTATTCACTTGAGCTCTTCGGACAGAGCCCAACGAAGCAGGACATTGCCAAATCCGACGTGCACGTTCACACAGGCCCTGAATACTTGTGAGATGGTGACAATGGCTTTCAAAACGGTGACCCTCGGCTGTTCATCTTCACATCCTTTCCGCTATCCACTTAAGCAATAGGCAAGCCTAATTTGAACATTTTTCCTCGTTTAGGATCAGAATGTTTGGTTTGCGCATAGACTAAAGCAATAAAAGTTTTTTTCTTTGGGAGCCAATGAACTCTGTAGTTATAATTTGAGGAGCTTCATTTAGACAAAAGCAAAGCTTTGTCATCATCTTGCAGCATCTAAATGCCAGTTAACAATGTTGAAGTAAGTTGAGGAGCTTCACCCAGACAAAAGTGCTTTGCTGCCATCTTTCAGCATACTGATGCCAAAGAGCCACGTTGAAGTGAGCGGAGGAACTTCGGTTGGATGAAATTAAGTAAATGCTTTGCCGGCATCTCTCTCCATCACAGATTTTTGATGGGTGGGTGTGGAACGTATCTTCTGGGTTTCACCATTAAGTTATCCGCCTCACTAGGTACACGGTGAGATGAATAAAAACAACGCTGCTGCATTATAACAGAAGTGCAATTGTGCTTCACTGTCTCTGCTGGCTGACTGACAGTCCACCTCCTACAACATTGAGCGCCCACGACACAGTCGGTGATTCATCGGCCCAGGGATTCATAGGCACAGGTTTTTGCCACCCAGGCATTACCTTGACATTTATACTTTCAACACTTGTCTGGAAGCTTGTTGCTGAACACAGGAGGGGGGTGAGGGGTGAGGGGTGGGGGATGGGGGGGGGGGTATATATACTTTTTGGAAATCAGCTTGGGGGTAAAGGGAGTCTCAGTGGGTGTGAGAAGGGTGCTGTATCATACAAAAGTCACAATAGGGAACAGACCTCACCCACTTTTTATGTAATCGTGTGCGTCACATGCTACACTGAAGGTCTCCGCTACACTCAGTCACACCTAATGGTCATTCATCACACTCCGATGTTGTGCTTTACATTTTATCTTGGGAAAAAAAAAAAAAAGCACACGCGAATGGAGATGGTCAGCCTTGTCCTCCAGACAGATAGGTTCGGTCCCAAACAGTAAGGCGGAGCCCACCCGCCTGCCTCCCTATCAATAACTCAATACATTGCAACATCATTGTGAAGACATTAACTGTGCCTCCATTGACTGCAGCCCAGTGGACACAAACAGAGAAATCAATAATCAGTTCCTTTATGGAAATGAGACGGGAATATAGGCTGCATCAATTGTAGGAGAGCTGTGTGCTGCATCTTATTATCTTGCCAGAGCCATTTAGAGGAATTTTTAATGGAGCTGCCACAATTGATATTAAATACCATGTGCACTCAAGATACAGGTAGGAATTTTTTTTTTAGTCTTTGGTGTGGCTATGCAACCACAAAATGACTCAGCACATGTCAAGTCAAGTCAGCTTTTATTGTCAAATTATGCTCGATGTGCAACATACAGCAGATGAAATGTATTTCCTCTCAGATCCATTATTTACTGGATCGCTGTATGCACGGAGGCGCATTTCATTGAGAAATTGATTCAAGGCATTATACAAGTTCCCGCAGTACGTGTCTCTTGTCGAGGTCCAATGCAGAGATTCTCTCCTCAAAACCATACATTACGTATCAGCACGCCTGATGAAACCAAAACGAGCTACGCACTCAAGTCACACATCACAGATCAGCTTTCTATGAGACGTGTTCTCTCAACTCTGAATTAAATCAGACAAAAAATATTGAGGAAAAGGGGAGACCAGACAAACCCCAACTAGCAAGAATCAATCAATAACTGCGCTCCTGTGGACGAACAAGCCCGTTTAATCTCCTCAACTGTTATTAGCAGCCATTTAATTTTCTTTTTTTCAGTCAAACTTTAGATATTGGTTTAAACTGTGACTAAAAAAGAAGACGTAGTTGTTTTTTTTACCTGTTCGGCGCAGCGTCCCCAATGTAACACCGGCTTTGTCAGACCACACAGTCACTGCGGGCTGCTTTTACCGTAATGACTCTATGACTGACGCCGATCATTTTTTTTCTAAGCCCTTCGAGGTTCATTACGGTATTAGGTACCGCCCCACCTAAACATAAACAAGGTTTAAGTATCTTTTTTTTTTTTTGTAATTTTTGAAACAGAAATAAAGCAGTACCTAAGTTCTATTATGGATTCTAAAAACAAGAAAGCTGTTAAAACTCTGGCTATATGCTCCTTATTTGAAATGTTTGTTTAAAATCCCCTGGCTTCTTTTTTTTGTTTAAATGTTTGTAATATGTGTATGTATTAATAACATGTTCATTTTGTTTTCTGTTTATTGAGAATTGTACCGTGACTTGTTCGAATAAAGATTCATTAAAAGAGAGAGAGAGAGAGAGAGAGAGAGAGAGAGAGAGAGAGAGAGAGACCCACAAAGAAAGATGGCGAGAGAGAGACGAAAAAAAAAAGTATCTTTTTTTGTGTCTTGTGATAAGGTTACGTTTTTGGCACAATGATAGCGAAGTCATTGTAAATAAACAACTACATAACAAAACAAGGGCAGACATTTTGGGTCGGCACTGTAGGTGTTCATGTCACTTTTATACCTTCAGTTGCAAATGTAGCTCTTAAAATGATAATTGAACACTCTAAATCGTCCTTCGGTGTGATTGTGAGCGCAAATGTTGAAGTCAGTTGGGGTCCAGCACACCCGCGACCCTCGTGAGGAAAAAGCGGTTGAGATCATGGGTGGTTGAATAAAATTATTTTTAAATCAAACGATTCACTTCACTTGCCTTGTTACAATTTCCTGCTTGCATTTAAATCAACAGGAGATGCAGTTACACTTCTTTTTCATAAAATCTGAAAATCACAGACCGATTCATTTTTTGGTGGTTGAGGAAAAAGCTATACCAAGTCTATTGGCAAGCATCCTTCTTTATAATAATACCATTTTATAAGAACACATTTTTATTTTGAGGTATTTTGGTTTCGGTTGCTGCTGTCAGTTAAATGTGCAGAAGAAATAGATCCTGTAAGAAGAAATATAGGACCCCCCCCCCCACACACACACACACACACACTATTTAAGCACATAAAAGTATCTGCTGCTTGTCTGGTTTAAGATTAAATAAACTGAATGCAGTGGTTCTGCCAGAGTTACATTGGAGACCAGAAATCGTCCGGTTTAAAACGCTATTTGCGGAACATAAAAAGCAAAACAAACTTTAATTTTACTTGAGGCACACAAGTGTAGATGAGAGGGGTGAGCCTGTCTACCATCTGCCTTGACGCCCCCTGATAGCAGTGAAGGAGATTCAATTTCTTCGGTGAGAAGCAGAGCACCTCGACTCGGCTGACCTCCTTATACGTGAATCATCATTATTGCCGAAATGACCCGACGTTCGTTTGTCCTGCCACAATTAGCTTAGGTCGGTGCCATCACATTAACGTCTTAGCTTAAGGACATATTTTACAGCCCTAAATATTGAGTACTGCAGTACTGCATCACGACATAGTACATCCAGATTAATTTGCATGTTCTTGAAACCACCTTGCTGACAGTATCATTCAAAATATGATATTGATTCTTTTAATAAAGCGTTTTTAAAAATTGTCCTGGCTTACCTAATAAACAGTACAGTGAGTGTAGAAAGTGCCCTGATTAATCCCCATGGATGAAAAAAATGGTAATGCGGGAATCTCACTGCTTTGAATGTTTGAGTCTAGTGATGTCATATATGTTTTTCTTCTGTTCTCAAGTTGATCCACTCGAATAAGTGATTTGTCTTTTGGGGATTTAAAAAAATGCAAAAATCCAATGAAAAAAAAGCAAACCACACAGTATTATTTAATCAGTCGATCCTGGCTGAAATGAAGATATATCGAATCGTACACTTCTGACTTTAAAGTTTCTGTTACGTTGCATTTTTAAAAAATAGAAAGGCCAAGATGAAATCGTTACATCTTTCACTTTGCATAGTATACGTGAACGGATTCCATTTTCTTCTTACTCGCTTTGTCTTGGGTCTTCTGTGTAGTCTGACCTCATCTTGTCAGAGACGCTGCCAGCCGTGGCCTTGGAGTCCAGATACTTTTTTTCCGCAGGTGTCTGTTTTCAAGAATGACGTAGACTTGGAGGAAATGTCTTGAACAAGTTCCTGTGAAGGAACTTTTTCAGGGTCTCTGGACTCTAAAACACAAAATTGTCTCAGTTTTTCCAACTGCTGGTTGCAACGAAGTGTGGTGATCTCTCCGAGTACCCTCCTTTATAACCTCTTTTTTCGGGTGCTTTTGTGTTACATGCTTGGATCGGGACTCTTCTGCCGCTTTAGCTAGCGCAGTTTTCCACATCACCTGCTTCGAAGTAAGGGAAGTACTCTTTAGATCTGCATCCTTTTGGGTATAAGGAGGAGAAACTGTGATAAGGGACGAGCGATGCACATCAACACCACCTGTCGCACGTGGACACATTCAGTGGACAAACTTTGGCTCTTACAGTTAGAGACTATGCACATGTCTGATACCCCTGAGAAGATGAAGGCCACCCGGGGAGCAGCTTTCAGTTCATTGGAGTGCAGGACAGCGTGTTGGCCTTCAGATGCAAGTGAGGAGCACAAAGGGCTGGCAGGGGGGCTTTCAGAGGGAGAACAGGAGAGAGGTCCAGTAACATCTTCTGAAATCGCCCACCTTCTGTTGATCTAGTCTGAAACTCCACTGATGTGCTCTGCATCGTGGACTACTCACACACACAAGTCCATCTACAAGTAGAAACACATGCTCGTTTGAATGTAAATACAAGTCAGGCACATTTAAATGTGATTAGAATGCAATTCAGACGAGTCAATTTCAAACACAAGTGTCAGAAATTTAAACTACTCGACGTTCCCCCTGTATTGACATCATTTTCTGTTTTTTTCTCTTTTTTTCTCTCAATCCGTTTTTCATCATTACATTATTATTTTCTCGTCAAATCAACAACCTATTCGGGTAAGAATAATTAAAAACACACAAGTTGCATTTTTAGCTTTTAAGGTTGAATGACAGCTACCAAAAGTATTTAGTCAATCAAGTCTGAAAGGGGGAAGTCGCTTCACACTCAATCGAGGAAAATGAACGGTTACTTACGTCGCTAATTAAAGCTCATATATCCACACAAATGACACAGTCGCGTAGCTTTTCCACGCTGCTGAACCTTTACCAAATAACCATTGTTGACAGTTGGATCGACACCGGTCCCGGTGAGCCGGTGACAACTGACACGATGGATGCCTTCGGGTCCTCTTCCAGCGCACCGATTTGTGACGTGGCATGTGGTGCCTTCAGGGAAACTCAGAGATTTGTCAACCACTGTTAAAAAATGTCAAAAAGTTTTACTATGTCTCACTGTCACGAAATGCCAGATTGTCATTGTGGATTCTGATGTGTTCTGATTTAAGGTTGGTATAGATTGATTTTACAAAACCCCGAAACGGTTGTCGGCGGAAGTACACCAATTTTCAGAGAAACAGGTACTGTATTACGTTCCTCATTATTCATCAATTCAAGTAAACTGGTTCGGGAAATGTATATCAGATTTTAATGAAAGATAAAATTGTGTGAACACAGTTTGACCATTTACCAACAATTACGTCTGATTATAGTATTCCGGAGAATGTAATAAGTACAAATAGGTCAAAAGGAAGCAGCATACTACATCAGTGACTTGTTTTCTTCCAGCAAATGCTGGGACAGAAACATCAACATAAATATCAAATCCCTTCAGTGATAACACCAGTGACAGTATTGCCTTATTATGTCCCACTGGAGCACACAATGAGGTCATTTGTTTCTGTGTCAACTCCGCACATGGATTTGAGGGCCCTCCATAAAGTCATTGCTCTTTGCCTAAACATTGATTGACCAAGACTCAGGTTGACTGTTGTGCTAAATACGTATACTGTGCTGATCGTGTAACTGAAATGGGGGCCCATGTAGAAATTTAGTGAAAATAACAGAGTGAAAGAATCAAAAAAATAATAACTCGCACAGAAACAGAACATGACACATTGAGAGATTCCAGTCACGGTGACCCATAAATGTGCCCGAAGTCTTGCACTGGGGAAGGCAATGCCATTCTTTGCCACACTTCTCATATGACCCTGCAAGTATCGAAAGGTGATGCAGCTGACAACGATCATAAAACATAAAACTGTCCACATGTACACCCACGTCACGATGAATCTAATTTGACTTAGAAGGAAAATGGGGTAAGTGAAGCGAATCGGGTTCCATATCACAGTGTCGTTGGCGTTAGGGAGACCCGCAGGCCCGTCATACAGAAGAACGGCAATTCCGACAGCCGAGTTATTGAACAAAATCACAAGATCAAGAAGCGCAGCTATGAAAGTGGCAACCTTGATGTTTCTCTTCAGCCAAATCAGCGGTGCGCCTCGTGGAGGGACGATATGGATGAAGAAGTAGAAGTTCAGCCAAACGTAGGCGCTCATGCTGTTGTGTACAAAGTGCTGCATCATCAACCACAGCACGAATGATGCCGTCATGGTTAGATAAGCATCCAGAGTGAAATTCAGCGTTAAAAAGACCACATACAAAATGGAGCACCACATGATGTATTCCAAGATTGTCTTCAAAGGCTGCTTGAGTCTTTGACTGTTGCCTAGCGGGTTAGCCAAGCAAAATAGAAAGAAAAAGTTCACGGCGAGGGTGAAAAGGACGAGTGGGCCGTTGATTAAAAAGAATTTCAGCCCACTGATATCAATCTGTTCATCCATTGGCGGCTTTAAAATCTCAAATGATTCAAACAAAAGTCGAAGTTGCTCAAAGTGTCGCGGCTTGCGATGGGACGACTTGACAGGGAAGGTAAGGGACTGGTGTTGGTGTGCATTTAAATAATAGGCTGACCCCCCCCGGAAGAAATCTCAATGGTGCGTTCCCTGCAAAGAGAGCGAGGAGCTGACCTGCTGATGCACTCAACTTGGTCAGGGTAATTGAGTCGAACATGGAAATCATGTTGCCAGCCTTCCTGTTGACACGATGTTTGATCATTGCCACTTACAGACAAACGAGTGCTGCCTGAAGTAGGCTACAGTATTTTTTTCATACGCTAGCCCATCATTCTAGAACAGCCGTCATAGACAATAAATATCTATGCGACTTCGCTTCGCTTTCGAGTCTTTTTATCTGCACACTAAGGCACCAGCCAATCAGTTTTGTGATGTTTTTGTGAAGTACAACCTTATAAACTTCACCGTTCATCCTTTTGACTTCTGTCAGCAGTCAGCAGTCTTTGTCATCACGAGTCAAGAGACAAGACATCTGTGCAATATGTTTTTAATTAATTAAATAAACACATCTGACTAAAACGCCAGAATGGAGAGGGGATATAAGTTGCATAATAATATTCAAAACAAATTATGCTACATCTTTACAATCCAACAAGCTCACTTGGCACTTACAAGACTGTACTTCTAGTATACAAATACTAACTCGGTCACACACAAACACACTGCATACACACTTAAAGCCACACGTTTTGTTTATCAGTGTATTTGATTGAAATTTTCACAATGCCACATGTCCTGCACTTGAGCAATCTGAATAAATAAAAGCTGGTATTGGATCACAAAGTCAGTATTCAGTTTCTCATAACTGAATTCTTTTTTTTTTTCTTTTCAATCAGCGTCATCTACGGCAGCTTTATCAGCAGACTCCAACGAAATCGCTTGCAGCTCCGTGAACGTTCATCACCGAAACAAATGTTTTTGCATTTTCTCATCTCATGAAGGAAATGAACTTGACCCATGCAAAGGCACTGAAATGGGCCGAGAAGATTTTTCAGGGCACATTTTACTTGCAAAATTGCGCACTTGAGTCACACCGAGTCACACGTCGTCACTTGAGTCTTGACAGTCTGCTGCCGAATGTCGACGACTGTCAGTAACCCTTGTTTCGGATAAGCCATACGGTGTGTGTTTGTGTTCAAGCTTAGAAGTAGTCTCTGCGGCGCGAGTCGTCACTTATGAAAGATGGGTTCCATTGGGCTGGGTAAATACAAGAGTGGCGAGATCCCGGAAGACCAGTGAATGGGTACAAACCATTTCTCTCCAGGTCAGAGTTCCGCAACGCAGGCTACAAGGAAGCACAAACACTGCTCTTTAGTTTTGTCTTTCAGATTAAGACTATGTGAAGCAGTCAGTAGTTCTGCAGAGTGTGTGTGTGGGCGGGGTGGGGTGTCTTCTTACAGAATAGTAAATGTCCGTCATTTGCAGCAGGTTCTTGGTGCTGCCGTTCTCTTGCATCTCGATGGTCTCCCGGCCCCACTCCATGGAGATGCGGTTACTCTTGGGGAAGTCGGCGTAGGGAGACATCTGGAGGTCTCCGCTCTTGAAGATGATCTTGTTGAGGTCATTCTTGTCTTTCCTGATGGTTAAAAAAAAAAAAAAAGTCCAGGTTACAAGTTTTCCTTCTCATTCAACTTTGAATCAAGATCAAGAAAATCTTACTTGCAGCAAGTGACAATCAGAGCAATGATGAGGATAAGGAGCAGGGCGCCCCCCGCAGGCGATACGACAACCGCAATCAGTTTGTAAACTGCAAGGGCAAAATGAAGCACTTGAAACATCTGCAAATATTCTATTCACATGTTGCTCGATTTAGTTCAATGACAACAGTCAATCTTAATGCCGCTTACAGTTTCCGCAGTTGAATCCTCCGAATCCAAACATGCACCTGGAACATGACAAAGAGGCAGTCGTGAGAATGTGGCCTCAAGTCCAGTGTATACAAGTAGGGCATCAACAAATGTGAGCTTACGGGACACAGGTGCCATTTTCCAGCTTGTAGCCATCCCCACATTCTGGAAAAACACAGATCGCACTGAATAAGATTTTTGTTTTACACTGGCCCTTGATTATATTTTTGTCACAGACTACAAAGCGCAAAAAAATAGACATAGGGCTTACCGAAGCAGGACAGGTCATCGAGGTTGTGTTTGTAATAACCTGGTAGACATTGGCATTGGGCTGTGCCGCTGACATCAGTGCAGGCGGAACGCTCAGGGTTGCACTGAATCCTCTGGGCCACACAGAGCCTCTCCACTAAGGGGAAAAAAAACAAAACGTGAGCATCCACGAGGACAAAGAAAACGCAGATGACGAGTGGTCCAAAATGTCACGGGAAAAGAAAAAACACAAAACAGTTTTGTGTTCCTTTCAATTCATTGTCCAGTTCTTCAAGGGCGTCAAACTCAAAGCCTGTGGGGCAAGATTTTGTAGGCCATGTAAATGTGCCATTTACATGGCCTACAAAAGCTTGCCACAATTTAATTCTAACTACAAGTCTAGTGTGTGTGCAGCTCAGCTTTCAAAAAAAATGTTTAAGTAAAACTATTATCGTACAAACGGATCTTCCAATAGCAGTTAAACAAAACCAATAGTTTGTTTTAATTCGAATTAGATGGTGGAAGAGACTAATTTGTGGCTCAAATGCATCCTCTAGTGGTAAAATACAGCATTACAATCTTTTGCTCATCATGTTGGCAGGAGGTTCACCGGTGATGGTGGTGCACAAAGATTGTCTTTTTTTTCCCCCTACCGTGATAAGTGAGTCTATGTTGCAGCACCATGAGGCAGTGAGACTGTGAAGCGTTGCAGTTTTTCAAAGACGTCTGGATGCTGTTGTGGACCACAGCACTGGTCACGTCGGAGGAAGTGGAGAACATGTTGACGGCCGATATATGAACGCCGCCCTCTTCTCTATGAGAAGGAGATCTTTGAATGAGTCTGCGTATTGGGTCGTTTGCATTATTTTGTCAGCAGATTTCTCCGGGTGATGAGATAATGAAAGTTTGTCATCATGCTTTCAAAAAAAAAATGTCTCTATGTGGTTTCGGTACCACAGCCAATGCTTCCACCGAGTAATTGTCGAATTTCGTCTTGAGGGATTAATGTGAGTATAATGTTATAAATTAAAAATACAAGAATGGTTTGGGAAGGATTTACACAATATTCTAAATTATAAAAAACTAAGTGGGATGCCGAATATCATCTAGTCCTACTAAAAATAGCAGAAAAAAATGAATAAATAGTATATTATACATATATTATAAAAGTGTCATCTGGTTATTATTTTGGGTTCAAAAGTGCATCAGCAATTGCAAAAAAAAAATCTGGGGTGCAAGAACAAATTAAATCAATTATATAGCCGGTATAAAAATTACAGTAAATCTACAAAAGGTATTAAGTATATGAAGTAAAATAATAAAATATCAAGCAAATACTTGAATAATGATACAACGGAACAAAGGTGCCAAAAAACGAGGTGACAAAAGGTTAAAAGAAAATCAAGTTGAATAACGACATCTTAAAAGTGTGTAAAAGTGTCGAAAAGCCTTAGTATAAAATAAATACATAAATTAAAAAAAAGAACGATCACAATCCAATCATTTCAGAATTGCTCTTGGGGCCCCCTAGTGGTCGTGGGGCCCCAAACAGGTGCTTCGATGGCTTTGCATGGTACCGAAAGTGCCACTAGACGAATTGCATTGTGTTCATTTGTTGACAAAGAATGATCCTATTTGTGTGACAACAGTAATAAAATGCAAAGAACACAAAACTAGGAAAACTAGTCTTCTTGTAATAAAACAGCCTCAACAAACTGTCTTGCTTCTGATGGCATGCTATTCCTGTTGCCAGTATATCACCTATTCCTCCCACATCCTCCTCGCTAAAAGTCAGACAATGATAAGCTGAAGCCATGCGCCGTTGGGAGGAAATGTGTCTTAAAAATGAACTCATGAAATGAACTCACTTCTGACTGAGCGTGGAGCGGCTGTAACCTCGGAGGTGGGACAAGGAGGCGTTTAGCTGAGGCGGAGAGAGGACATCAGTGAGAGAGTCGTACATAATAGCCACATCAGCAGGGAGGAGAATACAGAATAGCGCACCATCTGGATAACATTTTGGCACCTCCCATAGTAAATGATGAAATATGCCTCAAAGATGTAAGACTTCAGTGGATGTTGTCAGGAACATCGATGACATGACCTATGATGACCTCCTCGTTTGTCAAGATGTCCATCGAGTGTTTAGTTTATTTTTATACCTGTATTCAAAAGAACTAAAATTCTACAAACTATACTCAGTCTAAAAAAATATCTCACCAACTGCATAATCTCCCGCTGGATCTCATGCATGGCGGCGCTCTTGAAGACAATCGGGTCATGTGACACCCCGTTCACACGGAACGTTCCCAAAAAGGTCTTTGCTGTGAAGGGAGAACATACAATTGCATTTCCCCATGGAAGTTTTTGCATTTTAACAGTTTTCTTTTTTTTTTTCTTCAAAATATTACCTTTGGTGCAGGTACGTCCATTCTCCAGGTCGAAGCCCAGCGGGCACTCACAATCGAAGGAGCCCCTCGTGTTCACACATCTGGAGCCGACAGGGCACGGGTCCTTCTCACATTCGTCCGCATCTGTACACGCGATCATTTTCTATTCAACTGATGCTGAATCCCAGAGCTTTGTTTTTAACCTCACGACTCAGGTCATCTGGATCTGGTTCAGATTCGGATGGAAGCTCACCCTGGGTGCAGGTGGGGCCCGTCCAGGCCTCTTGACACGTGCAAGTGAACTGACGCCGTTCGTAGCTTGTGCACGTTCCTCCGTTCATACACGGGTTGGACACGCAAGGGTCTCCTGCTGTTCATGGAGGAGACAGTTTTCATTTGGTTAAAATAGATCTGTCTTGGTAAATTATTATTTGTATCTTCACCGCTGAACAAAAAAAAAATAAAGTCAAGAAATTGTTTGGTATTTAAAAAGAATATACAACTGTGCCCCAATGTTGATATCGCAAGTATTGTTTTAATATGAAAATGTTCCTGAGTCCTGAGTCTCAATGAAGCTTTTTTGCTCCCTATTGTATCAATCTAACAAGAATGACTTTTTACACTAAATAGCACCTTAAGTGCTCACCAAACATGAACCAGAGGTTTTATTCCTAAATATATATTTATGCACAGTTTCAACATGAACACTGGGCTCATAAAAAAAAAAAAGAAAATAAATAAATAAACGATTCAATACAAATGTTGTGCACATAAGTTAAATGAAAATACACCCACAAAAATAGTTTAAAACAATCTACAAAAAATTAAATGCAAATCTATTGAACTTAAAAGTTAAATACAACTGAATTCTACTCAGTGATTCTTTTTTTTTTCTTCGCCTACCACCGTCGACATGGATCAAGAAAATCTACTGTACAAAGATCAAATTGTGTCAACAGGTATCTCCGG